TGGACATGGTGGGAAGAGTCAAACGTGAAATTCAATATCTGAAATTATTAAGACACCCTCATATAATCAAATTGTAAGTTTATTTACTATAACCATCGCTGTTATCTGGATTCCGGTATAAATCTTAAGAATGTACTCGTATCAATCTTTACGATTTTCTCTACAATATGCTAATATTGTCGCGCATAATATGGTCATTCATCATCAGATATGAAGTAATTGCAACTCCGACAGATATAATCATGGTAATGGAGTATGCTGGGGGTGAATTATTCAATCTCATAGTGGAAAAGGGCAAGGTAAGAATGTAATTTTATCATTCTAAATAAATGATAAATAGGCCACGTTTAAATCCAAGTTAATATTGACCCTCTCAAGTTTTGTACTTTTAGATGTCTGAGGATGACGCGCGTAGATTTTTCCAACAGATTATATGTGCGATTGAATATTGTCATCGACACAAGATTGCGCATAGAGATTTAAAACCCGAAAAGTCAGAACAGGTTTTATGTTCTATAAATTTTGAAAAAGCATCGCATTTGAAGACGCGTTATTTACCATTATACGAAATTTCTATTCTCACGGAATTATCACCAGTCTACTTCTGGATCCGTATCATAATGTCAAGATTGCAGATTTTGGATTATCAAATATCATGACGGATGGTGATTTCTTGAAAACCAGCTGCGGCAGTCCAAATTATGCCGCGCCAGAAGTGATTTCTGGCAGGTATTAATTAATAAGAAGATTTATTGAAATTTGAATTTTTTATTGTCGACATTTTTAACTTGATCAAATATTTTATTAGATTATATGCAGGACCAGAAGTCGATGTTTGGAGTTGCGGGGTGATTTTATATGTGATGCTTTGCGGTCGACTTCCCTTCGATGATGAGTATATTCCCACCCTATTCCAAAAAATTAATGGTACGTAAATCCTGCTTATTTGATTATATTTTAACACAATATATGAAATAACGTGATGATTTCACATTAAAGGGGGAATTTATATATTACCACCATTTTTGACGCCCGAGGTCAAATATCTTCTTTCTTCAATGTTGATAGTTGACCCTTTAAAAAGAACAACAATTGCCGAGATTAGGTATTAATTTTACTTTAAAAAATCAAAAATTGGACATTATGGTCACTTAATCCTTTGACTCTTATATAATAATCGAATATCAGGCAAAATCCATGGTTCAATATAGGCTTACCTGATTACTTGAAGCCATTACCCGATAGCGTGGCAGATCCGTTTGCTGAAATTGACGAAGCTATTGTGGCAGAATTACAAAAAGTAAAATAAATAAATTTTCATGATAATGAATTTAGTACAAGTAATTTATAATTACCTTTACGAACAAATTAGAAAATGGGTTTTAGTAAAGAGAATATATACGATGCTTTACAAGAAAACGAGAATAATCAGATAAAAGTCGCGTATCAACTTGTGGTTGATCATCAGAGAATGCTTTTAGCTGGTAAATTTGCTTCTTGAGAAAGCGACTTTTATTTTTAAAGCTGACATTATATTTCAATTCTATGAATACATATATTTAAGGAAGAATGTCGGATCAAAATAACATAATGAGTTTTCTTGCAGCTTCTCCTCCAGCATGGGATGTGATTCAGGTATTCAGAATATAGCGTCATAATATTATTAGGTATACAAATTTTTTATGTATTTGTATTATTAGCAAGGAAAAGTGTCACCGACAAATGGAGAAGAAAATATCGATGAACCGTCGAGTATTACGTTACTAAGCAGTAGTTTGCCGCCAAGCACAGACAATTTCAGAGGTTTGTATTTTACTTCTTCTCCAAAGCGTGGAAAAAAAAGTTAAGTCTCACTCGTTCATTTAGGTTCGAACTACTCTTTTGGCAATCTTGCTAAATCGCCAATCCAAATGAGACGAACAAAGTCGCGTTCCAAATGGCATTTCGGAATTCGATCGCGTAGTCCACCTTTGGAAGTGATGTTGGAAATTTATCGTGCTTTAAAAAATATTGGGATGGTACGAACACATCTTTTAGTCTACATTTATAGATAAAGATTTATTAATATCGAAATTATAGGGTTGGAAAACCATCGATCCGTTTCATGTTCGATGCCGATACATTTATCCTTCGGGATTAGAGGTAAGTACTTATCTCATTACCCAAAACGTAATTTCCGGAGAAATAACTTACATTTTTCTATATTCATCAGGTTAAAATAGATTTACAACTTTACAAACTTGATATCAACAATTACCTCGTTGACTTCAAGAACGTATCATACAATCTTTCTAATCCTGAAGATAAACCCTCATCGCTTTTCTCATCTTTGATTTCACAACCCGAATCATCTTCATCACCATTAATACCAAAGTCTTCTACTACCCCGGAAGAACCACAACTTGCTTCATCTTTGGAAAATATGTCGGTAACTACCACCAACACCGATGCCACCACATCTGTACCCAATCCATCATCAACCACCAAAGAAATTCATTCGCAAAGTGATGGCAAGCAAGTTTGTTCAATGTACCCGTTCTTTGACGTTTGTACAAAATTGATCACAGAATTGGCGATTTCTGCTTGATATATTTTTATTGTTAATCTTACCATCAAGATTCTATATTATTTTACCTTTTTCTCTCCCCACTCTATATTTTCCGGTTCTTGTGTAAATATTATTTTATTGCTTTTTTTGCGTAAATATATTATTATTAATTGTTTTATTTTATACTAGATTGGAATTTAATTCGTTTATTATTAGTAATTTTACTTTTGTCCTAAGGTATATATATGTATTATCGTTAGATGATTGATGATATAATAGATTCATAGAAATAACCCATAACTAAATCGATATTAATAAAAAAATTTCTCAAACCACTGTTTCTAGAATTCAATTCACATAATCATATCCCACTTAATAGAATTGAATTATATGAATTGACCTATACATGTTTTATCTAATTCTAAAGTTATATTAAATATACGATTATTATGATGATAATAGTCCATACAAGTAATGAAACTTGTATATATTATAAAGGCGTGGAGAAATTATTTCTATATAAAGAGCACGCACATATACACACGTTAGATTATTGAAATGAAAAGGGAAATTATTCATTTAAAGTTAAGAATAATAATAAAGAATAATAATATGTATTACTTTTTCTGTTTTAAATAGCCAACACAAGCTATAGATTGAAAGCGAGAGAGACGCGTCAATCGCGTAAAGCACAGATTTTGGTTGCGACTAAAGATAAATATTTAAGCAAATAATTAGAAAATGTCAAATACATACATTATTGAGAGAAAAGAAAAGATGTTATGTATGTGATAATCGAAGCAATAATAATGCTATTCATGTCAATAAAAAGATGCAACCTTCATTGATTCTTTTTGGTCCTTCGCGACGTAGTTTTACTGATTAGAACTGCTTGATCCTCGGTAAATCCTGTAGTCACTATCGCTTGTTCGTTGCTATTAATCTGATTCCATGTGGTAACAACATCTTGCGCCAGCTGTACGCGCTTCTGTACAGACGGCACTTGTAATTCCTTGCTTTCTAAGCAGAGTCTAAGCAAATCAAATGGTAGCTGAACATAATAACCACATAATCGTTTGTAACCAGATCCAGTAGACCCATTTTCATCGAAAGCAGATGTCATCTCTGGAAAATCGCGTAATAAAAAAGTGTAGGCTCGTTCACGAATCTGCTGCGTGTAGCCATAAGGACTAGCGTGATCCGACCATTCGATATATGCCACAACGTTATGCTCGTCAATATTCTCGCAGGCAACATTGGTGGCGAATTCGCACAAATCACCTATCCCAAGGAGCGAAGCTGCAGCCAAAACATGATGTGCATTTTCCCCAGTCACACAGTGCATTTGCGAGAGGTATAGGTGCGACAAGCAAATGGTGAACGCTTCATCGGTGATGTATGGATCTGCGAGTTCGTTAAGAGTTATACTTATAGGATGAGTGTAATCTGATTCAGTTGTCGCAGCAGCGTTGGAAAGTAAGTGGAATAAATATGGTGATTTTGCGACAATATGAGAGTGAAGCTGGTATGGGGCTTCTCTGAATGGAACGTGAACTAACAAGTTGCAAAATTCGCCATTGACAAAACATTGGTAAAGATATTGACATAGAAATTCGTGGTAATCTGGACCACCAGTTGCTTCTTGTGTTTGTGCATCCGTGGGAGCAGCAGAAGTTGGTGGTAAATGAGGTGGTGGGGGTAGCAATTCTTCTGCTTCAGAGACAAAACCTTGCTGCATCAATTCAACAATAGTTTGTTCGTTGATAGATTGTGAGTCTGGTGATTGACTAGCGTGCATAGCTACTTGTGGAGGCATTTTAAAGGAAAATGGATTTGCAAATTTTGAGGGAAAAGAACGTGTCGCTAATAAGTGTGCATTCAATCTCACAATCCCGATAGCCAAGATTTCAAATCAATCTGAATCCTTGGAATTCTGTAGTACCCTAGCCACGGCGAAAAAAAGCGTCAGATCATGTGACGCCGATCCAATACGACCAATAAGAATGCGTAAAAATCTGCGCAACCAATAGAAATGTGGCAAATCTTTGATCAGTTCCGGCAAAACAAATCCGAAACAAGAAAATAAAAAATGAAAAAAATACGGGAAACAGATATCTAAATCTATCTTGAAGCACTATTAAAAAATGTCGGGAAGGAAATTTTATATATAGTCTTTACTCGAACCCTAAACCAAACCCTAATACTTGATCTTTAATATGAATCGGATATTTCAATGGCTTTAATCGGTATCACGTGATCTGACACTTTTTTTCGCCGTGGCTAGGGTTCTAAAATTCTGTAAATTACGTTGTTCCACGTGTAATTTTTGGAAATAATTCTTGAACCAACCGGAAAATTCAAATGCTTGTGCATCTTATAAAAAATTCTCCGATGATTCAACAAAACTTTATGTTTGATTTCGTCTGTCAGAGAAACAAGATCTAATTTAAAAATGTCATCATACTTACTCTCTGCTAAAGAATTCTTCGCAGGGCTTTTAGATCTTGATGTTTCAAATTCCCTGGAATTTATTGAAAATAAAGTCCTATCATTTCTAGATGCAGTTAACGTTTTATTTAAAGAGCTAGGAAATTCCCCAGGATCTATTGCAAAGGTATTGATATCGGTGGCTGTGGTTGTGGTAACGGTAGTAAAAGTATTGGTAGCAACTGGGTTTTTCCAAAAAACGTAAGTACTATATATCTTCACTTGTTTTTCGAACCTAACAAGTATTTGTTAAATATTTTTGATCATTAAAAGGGCCTCCGTCTGTTTGGTGAAGGCAAAATCAATAAGACAATCTTCACTACATATTCCAAGAACTTTAATATGGCATGCATACGTATGGCCCTTTGTTGGCTTTTACCTGGCATGGTTATATATATATTTGTTTGCATATGACGAACTCCTTGTATCAGAAGAATGGACATTTTTGACACTTGGTAGTTTAATCACCACCAACGCACTATTATTTTTGAGTTGTCAATGGAGTGTTCGGCTGAAAGCTCTTTTCACATGTAAAAGTGTTTTGGTAAAGTCTATTTTGAAATCATTTTGTTTAGACGTCATTTTTTTCTTATTATCAAAGAGAGAGAATGGTTGCTTAAATTTAGATTTTCATAATTTCCGTCGATAGGTTAACGATATTTATAAAGCACGAGTCATAAAGATTATACCTGCGCCTCATAAAGGAAAAGGCGAGATCTGCCCGTTATATCATGCAGAAGTATTTTTTTGTGGACTATTATTATATTTAGTTTTGCGTGCTCTATATTATAAAATATCTAATAAATCCTCTCAATTAGAATGGCGAAATATCGTTTCAGTACCAAAAGAGAAAGTATATTTGGGACGAGGATCGCAAAGAGTTTTATAAATTAGCGTATCCGAGTGATGCGGCTACACTATTACATGACTACCAAAATCACAACGGGTTACAAGGCGACGATGAGATAAATGCTACCAAAGAAAAATACGGGTTCAATAGGTGATTATTAATTATATAATAGAATTTTGATTTTATCCTGGCTGCTATTATGATAATAATTTTGATGATTAGGTTCGAAATTCCTGTACCTACTTTTCGTGAACTTTTCAAAGAACACGCGGTTGCTCCATTTTTTGTCTTTCAATTATTTTGTGTTGGACTGTGGATGATGGATGAATATTGGTACTTTTCAGTGTTCACGCTGTTTATGCTAGTGATGTTCGAGTCGACCGTTGTTTTTCAGGTAATTTCATACTCTAGTTATTCCTTTGATGACTTTATTATAAAAACAAAAATGATCAATTATTGAATCATGTATATTCAGCGCTTAAGAACTCTGGCGGAATTTCGCACAATGTCGATTAAACCATATAGCATTCATGTAAGAAGGAATCTTCATTGGATAACAGTTAATTCGGATGAACTTTTACCCGGTGATTTAGTCTCAATAGGTAAGAATGCAACAGGGGTTGTTTTTTCAAAGAAAAATTATTCATTTTCTTATTTTTATAAAGTTCGTTCAAAGGAAGACTCGGGTGTTCCTTGTGATATGTTGATTATACATGGTTCATGCATTGTTAATGAAGCTATGCTTTCTGGTGAATCGACGCCTTTATTGAAGGTAAATCCAATAATTTACTTGATCCTTAAAAGGATGGAGATGAATAGGCGTGGAACAAGTGAAATAGGTGTTATTAGTGGAATGTGAATATGTATATTTTTTATTTAAACGATTATTTATTTGATTTGCGTATAGGAATCTATTGCCCTTCGTGATGGCAACGATATTCTTGACATGAATAGCATCGACAAAAACAGTATTCTATTTGGTGGCACAAAAGTTCTTCAAGTCACTCCACCTGCCAAAGAGCACCCTTTATCAGGTATTTGCTATCTTAGCATTTATTGGTAATATATCTCTTTTTATAAACAATATTCTTTCCTTGTAATTAGCCCCAGATAATGGATGCATTGCATATGTCATTCGTACCGGTTTTGGCACTGCTCAAGGGAAACTAGTTCGCACTATGGTATATAGTACCGAACATGTTTCTGCCAATAATTTGGAATCGTTCCTATTTATTCTTTTCCTTTTGGTATTCGCATTGACTGCTGCTGGATATGTGTGGATTAAAGGTGCGTGTTTTATTTGATTATTAGAATGTTTTACGCGTTTTATTTAAAAAAATTAAATTATAGTTTTTGAATAGGTGTTGAAAATGATCGAAAGAGATCAAAACTTTTATTGAATTGCATAATAATCGTTACATCGGTAGTACCACCCGAGCTGCCAATGGAACTTTCTTTGGCTGTGAATACATCTTTGGTGGCATTAGCTAGATACGGTAAGACATACAGTGAATTCGAAAAATAGAAAAAAATTCAATCATGATTGACTTGATGATCTTATAATCTCTCCAGCAATTTATTGTACCGAACCATTCAGGATTCCGTTCGCGGGAAAAATTGATGTTTGCGCTTTTGATAAAACCGGAACACTGACCGGGGAAAATCTTGTAGTTGAGGGAATCGCTGGAATTCAGTGTGTTCTTTTTTGTATTCTCTTTTAATCTCGTGTACCAATTTTACTCATAATATTTCTTACAATATGCAGTCCTAATGACCCCAAAATTTTAGTCAGTCCTCCGGAGGCATTGAGAGAGACAATACAGACGCTTGCTGCTGCTCATGCATTAGTTCTTTTGGATGATGGTATTGTCGGTGATCCAATGGAAAAGGCAACATTAGAAGCATTGGAATGGAAACTCTTAAAAGGTGTCATTTTTAATATTATCTATAAATATTTTTTATGTTTAATTTCTTATCTAAGCTAATAATTCGTGTTAGGCGACATTGTTGCTCCGGACAATTCTCAGTCTGCTCGTTTCCAACAACGCTCTCAACTTCAAATACGCCGCCGCTTCCAATTCTCTTCTGCATTAAAACGGATGTCAAGTGTGTCGACACTTTCAGCTCCAAGGAATTCAAAGACTTTTGTCGCTGTCAAGGGCGCACCCGAGACATTACGTCATATGTACGTGTATGTACCGGATGACTATGAAGACACATACAAGTTTTTTACCCGTCGTGGAAGTCGTGTTCTTGCATTAGGCTATAAATATTTGACGGTTAATTTGAATTCTGAAGAGGTATTTTCGCATATTATTATTAATTGCTTAATCGAAACTATAGATTATTGTTTAATCCGTATATATTTTTAGATAAATAATTTAACACGGGAATCGGTTGAAAGTAAATTGAATTTCGCTGGGTTTTTGATATTTCATTGTCCATTAAAAGATGATGCCATTTCAACTCTCACTATGTTGAATGAATCTGCTCATCGGGTAAATATAATTGCTATAGATAATAAGCTTTTCTATTATTTAATCTCATAAAATAACTATTATTTTAACTAAATGTTCAACATTAGTGCGTTATGATTACTGGTGATAATCCTTTAACTGCTTGCCATGTTGCAGAAACAGTTAAAATAATCGAAAGAGATGTATTAATCTTAGATTTACGTGAGGAAGCCACAAGTGATGATGGTAATCTCGCTTGCTCTCATGAACTTTCACATTATGTGATCTTTATTAAACAAATTTATTTGTAGATCTCATTTGGAAGTCGGTTGACGAAAAGACCATCATCCCTGTGAATCCAGTCGATCCAATAGATCCGAAAATCTATAATGATTATGATTTATGCGTAACTGGCGCTGCATTATCTTGTTATGAAAATAAGCCACACGTTAAAGAGTTACTTGCACGCACATGGGTTTATGCGCGGGTGTCTCCAGGACAAAAGGTTGGTTGATTGATCACAAATATTCTTAGTATACAGCTAAAATATTAATAAACATAAACTTCAAATAGGAATTTATCCTGAGTGGGCTTAAACAAGCAGGATATACAACATTAATGTGTGGTGATGGAACGAATGATGTAGGCGCACTTAAACAAGCTCATATCGGTGTTGCTCTTCTTGACGGCACAATAGACGATTTAAAGAAAATCGCTGAGCATCAAAAAACACAACGACTAAAAGACATGTACGAAAATCAGCTGAAATTCACCAACCGATTCAACTTGCCGCCACCACCACCGCCACCTCAAATTGCTCATTTTTATCCACATATAACTCAACAATTACAACAACAGCAGCAACAAAATCCCAATATGGTACAACAAAGACGTCCTCCACCACAAGTAAGTCAAAAATCACCATTTCTATCTTTATAATTCTGTTGAACTCGTTGAGTCGTCACTTTGCCTTTTTATTAGGTTGATCGATTAGCAGAACAACTATTAGGAGATCTTGACGAAGAGCCACCTACAATCAAATTAGGCGACGCGTCAGTAGCTGCGCCTTTTACTTCTAAACTTGCTAATGTGTCTGCAAGTAAGAATTCTTTTGAATTAATTAATATCAGATGATTATTATAAAATATCATTGAATTCTTACAATTTTCTAATCCCCGTATAGTAACAAATATAGTACGACAAGGTCGTTGTACGCTTGTCGCGACTATTCAAATGTACAAAATTCTTGCTCTGAATTGCCTGATTTCCGCATACAGTCTAAGTGTATTACATTTAGAAGGGATAAAATACGGTGACTTGTAAGTATTAAAAATTCCTTCCAATGAAATAAATATCGCCTTTACCAATTTTATTGAATTTTTTTCTGTTTAGGCAAGCCACAATTTCAGGCATGATGCAAGCAGTATGTTTTCTTTGCATCTCAAAAGCCAAGGTGAGTAATAATCGAAATATAATTTTTTTATTTACAATTTAACATCGTCACCATGTTTTATTTCTTAATTCGTTTATAAAAATAATTGTTTGTTTCTTAGCCACTTGACAAACTCTCGAAAGAACGTCCTCAAGCAAATGTATTTAATTTTTATATAATTCTATCGATCTTGGGACAATTTGCTATACATATCGCGGCATTAGTATATGTTGTTGATTTGGTGTTTAAATTCGAGGCGTAAGTGTAGAATTTCATTCACCTATTATTTATTTATTCATTCATTAATTTAACTAAAATTTTGGTTTATTATTAGAAAGAGAATAGTAGATGTCGATTCTGAAAGTGAATTTGAGCCTAGTCTATTAAACACAGCTGTATATCTAATTGCACTTTCAATGCAAGTGTCGACATTTGCTATCAACTACCAAGTAAATTTTTTATTTGTATAAATTTATCATTTTTAATCAAAAAAAAAAACCGGTAGGATTTATTTTCATCAAAATTTTTCGTGGGTGCATTGAAAAAAGGGACATCCATTCCGAGAAAGCCTACGAGAAAACACATTCCTTTATTACGGGTTATTAGGTGTAGGCGCCATTGCTATAGCCGGTGCCACCGAATTCGTCCCGGAACTCAATTCTTGGTTGTCACTAGTACCACAACCTTTTGATGTGAGTGTGATCATTTAAACTTTATGTCACTACCTTTTGATTCATTCACACAGAAATCCAGACAGAACCTTATTATTTATTTGTTGCAGTTCAAAACAAAGCTCACCGCCACCATGCTTCTTGACTTTGGTCTCGCGTGGGTAGTTGAAATAATATGTAAATTTTTCTTTGCACACAACAAACCGAAAGCGATCGCACGGAGGATATCGATATCAAAATCGAAAACAAAATCATCGACGACAAATGAGAAAAAGGGAAAGTAACAATCATATCTTTGCTATAATTAATAATAATACTACAGTTAATAGAAATGATTTATTTTGGACATTTAGTCACAAAAAAGGGATTAGACAAAGAATAGATAGACGACACTACTTATTTTTATTTCGATGTAAAAATACGCTTGCCTTTTCAGATAATTACGGATTTCCTAAAGGATTGTTATTCACACCCTCGATTTCGACTAATAAAATTTCCATTGCACAGTGCATGACACTTAAAGATTGAAATAAAATTGATAATCTTTGAAAGCTAAAGCACATTACACAGATAATACAAAAAAAAAGGTCATCAATTTGTAGTTAAGCCAATTTACTATAACTTAGTGAAAAAATGTTCATTCCTGACATATTGATTTAAAAATATCTTGTTTTCATATGATTGATAATTTATGGGACAAGTTTTAGCTACAAATAATTTTAGCTGAAACTTGTTTTTGATAATATATAAATAAATAGAAGCTTTCTAGTTATATAATTCACTTTATTTTCAACTTTTTTAGGTTTATATAATAAGAAAAATATCAATTTAATTACTTTATTTCTATTAAAAAAATTATCATAACTATAAAAAGAAATAATCACTCTAGTAATACATATATGGCGCAGCTGAATCAAAGAATCTGTTAATCATGGATGAATCAAGAATTTTGCCACGCTTTATATAAAATGCAAAAAAATTTAATTATTTTCTGAAAAATGGCGCATCATCCTGCATACACGATGGCTGGTTTATGTAAAAATCATTTTTACACCATGTAATTATTTTTGTTTCGATTCTAATTTTTTGATTTATCGTTATCATTATTTTTAGGTGCAATTGGTGGAGTAGCAGCTTATTCACGTGCTCGTTCCGTTCCATCTTTGGTAGCTGGATTGGGTATTGGAGTGTTATATGGTATTGCAGGGTAAATAAAGTTGTAATTATTATCTGAACGAGGAAGAGGTAAAAAGTTAAAATCATACTTTTTTTTCGCTCAAAGATATCGGATCCAACAAAATGCTGATTATGGGCATGAATTGGCGGCCGGTAAAAAACATTATGATTTTTCATGGAAGCTTTCTTTCACTTTATTTAACAAGTTTCATTAATGATTTATTTCAAAAAAAGCTGCTTCCACTGTTCTCGCGAGTTCAATGGTTCCACGATCTATTAAAAATCCAAAACCGATTCCATTGACATTAAGCATTCTGTCAGTGGGTGTTGGTGCATATTATTTTAAAAAGATTTGGGAGTATCGATGATGAAATAGTGTATTGTTATTTTATATAATAAGTCCTTAGATTAAATGGTGAATAAAATAAATTGTGTAATACACATCATATCGATCAAATAATTGATTTACTTAATCTGATACACCATAAGTAGCATCTTCAACAATATCCATTATTGAATGTATTAATAAACTAAATGTCAAACGTTACTTTAAAGTCACAACAATATGGGAAAGACCGCGTAAGGCTGGTCAAAGTCATTCGGAACGGCGATTGGCATGAAGTTGTAGAATTAACGGTGAGTTCGATAGTTGATCAGTATTTTGATAGTTTGCGTGTTAATAAAATTTACTAATTCATTTTCACTGTAAAGATACGCGTCCTCTTGGAAGGAGGTTTTGAAGAAGCGTATACTAAAGCAGACAATTCCTTAGTAATTGCAACAGATTCTATAAAAAATACTGTATACATTCTTGCAAAAAAATCCGCCAAAGTCCAACACATTGAATTGTTTGCTATTGAAATCGGAGATCATTTCATTTCCCAGTATAGTCATGTGTCCACTGTACATGTCTCGATTATTAAACATCGATGGACGAGAATGTTGATCGATGGAAAACTGCACAATCATTCTTTTTTACGTGATGGTGATTATACTAGGAGTACGCGTGTCATTGCTTCTAGGAATACAGGTGTAGAATACTCGGTTATGATTGATTCTGGATTAAAAGATTTGTTGGTGTTGAAAACTACCGGGTCCGCGTTTCATTCTTTCGTTAGAGATAAGTGTAAGTGTAAGTGTTTGTTATTTGTTTTTATTGATTTAATGTTCTGATTATATTTTTTATAGACACAACTCTCGAGGAAACAGACGACAGAATTCTTTCGACGAGTATAGATGCCACCTGGACTTTTAAAATCCCGAATTCAGCATCAATCACTAAGATTCCCTTTGATGATATATATGCCTCTATTCGTGATGTTACGTTAAAGACGTTTTCCACGGACAATAGTGCATCTGTACAAGCGACATTATATTTAATGGCTAAACAAGCACTTGAAAAACATCCAGAATTGGAGAGTGTCTCTTATGCATTACCTAACAAGCATCATTTCGCGTTTGATCTTGAACGTTTTGGCTTAAAGAATAGTGGGAAGGATGCCGATATTTTTGTTCCTTTTAGCGATCCTTCGGGTAAGAATTGAATTTACAATTTTGCACTGAATGTTTTTGTTTCTCGACTAATTTATTAAAATATCTTTTTTCAGGATTGATTACTGCAACGATTGCTCGCGCTAAATTATAATGTCGACATAGAATTATTTAATATTTTATATTTTAGGATTATTACTGCAACGATTGCTCGTGCTAAATTATAATATCGAGATAGAATAATCAATTCAGTATCATTTAATATTTTGTAAATCTCATGGCTACCAAAGCAACACCTCACTGAGTGCTTTGAAAATTAAAGAAAAAACTGAATCCCACGAATACGTAGTATATAATTTATACACCGAAAAATATTAATGTCCAAGATAAAACGAAAAGAACTCTTATTTGCTTCTTGAGGGAAAAAATTATACAAAAACACTAAGATAAAAATATAATATATTTAACAAAGTCACAATATCACTTTGATTTCGGAAATTTTTGTATATAATATACATCAAATAAACTTGTAATGAGTATCATTATTTTTCTTACAATTGGTCACAAACAAGTGATAACAACAATATTTCTGACATCTGAACACAAATCATTAGTAAAAATAGTGATACTGTTAGTATTCCTTGATCATTGTCAAGTAACAAATATATAGTTACATCTAAAAGATCTGTCAAACAACAGCCAACACAAAAAAGAACTGAACCAATTTGAGATCGTATCTGTCAAACTTGTGGAACAAACCATAGTAATATATTAAAAAAAAATTATTAAATAAAAGCAGATACTGAGCAACTCGTAAACTTGAAATAAAAATTAGTTTCTTATATAAATCTAGAAATGTAGAAGATTCACGATCATATGATCTATTAAAAGAATTCTATAATTCTAATTTTTTAAATAAATAATCATTTAATTATTATCTCTTTTTAAATTTTAATTTAGTATTTAATTTTAACTTTATATTTCTGAAAAATCAAAAATATATAAAATCATCAAAATCTTTATAAAAATTTAGTTTTTTCTTATTATTTTCTTATTTATATACTTTTATTTACTTTATTCTAGTGTTCCTATGAACTGAACCGAACTGGACTTTTGTCCAGGTTCGAGTTCAGTTCGAAATTCGAACTGAACTCAAACCAGACTTTGACTTGAGTTCAAGAAAGATTCGAAGTTCGAACTGAATTCAAACTGAATTATTATACGAGTTCGAGTCTGGTTCGAGTTTGATTAAAGATCAGCATATAGTATCATATACCGATTTATAGCTCTAAATATAAGCTACAAATTTACTTATAAGCACAATTTATGGTATTTAGTAAGAATTAAAAGTTTACATAGTGATAACTAAAGTGTTTTTATTTTTACGTTTATTAAATTTGATCGTAAATGCTATGTAACTCTCTGAATAATTATTATTAATGATAATTATCTTATACCAATTTGTAGCTCTTATTTCTGGCTACAACTTTACTTAGAACATCAACAAATATTTACTTGAACTCAAACTGAAAATTTTGTCAAGTTTGAGTCTGGTTTGAAATTCGAACTGAATTCGAACCAGACTTTTAATTAGGTTCAAATTTTTGAACTGGACTTTTCGTTAGGTTCGAGTCTAATTCAAGCTCAAACTGAACCAGACTCGAACTAAACCAGACTTTTTTTCAGAACTCTACTTTATTTTTTCTTATTATATCTTTTATAAATATTCCTGATGAAATTATAATATTAGCAAATAAATTATATTTGAAATTACAACAACAATGTCCAGAAGTCAAAATAGAGATTAGTAATAACAGATCACAATTTTCAATGAATATTATTAAAATACCAATTGAATTAGTAGATAATATTAATTTTTTTAATATCTTGACTTTGAAAAAGAAGTAAATTCAAGTTTAATTATAATACCAGAAATTGTTATTGTTATTGTTTTTATATGCTTTAAGTTTTTGATATATTAATCATGTATTTCTATTAACTAAAAGGTGGGAGAGACTAAGTTTTATGATGAGAGAGACTAAATATGATTATTAAAGATAGGTAACATGTGTTCTTGTTGTGATGAGCTAGAATAATGTTCAATAACTTCACTTAAAATTTACTAAGTTTCTTTATAACTTTAAAAGTAATAATCCAAGACAATAAGTCTTCTAAATGACTATTTTTCAAGTCAAATATAACAATTGGTTATTTAATAGTGATCTATCTTTCAAGACCAAAACCAATATCAAATATAACTTTTTAATAAGTTATTTAACAAGATATTTATTGAAGTATTTTAACTTCTGAAGTATTCAACTTTTACAATTTATTTTTCAATCACTAGCTAAGTTGCATTGCTTTTATAATATTTGATGATTCTATAAAAATTACTTTTGTTATAATACTATTACTACTTTTACTAAGATCTAATTGCTTATTTTATTAGTATCAGATTGCTGTTTTTGCTATGATCAAATTGTTAATTTAGCTTGGATCAGTTTGCTAACTTTGCTATAATCATATTGCTTGTTCTATTATCTAACATTAATGAATAAATTTCTTCTAGCTAGTGTCCAATAAGATATTAATAAATATTATCCAATAATATTATGATATAAATTGTTCAATAAATGATAAGATAATTAGTTCATATTATAACAGGTCCCTTTTCATTAAGATTTTGCTTCATAAAATTCAATGTCAATTGTCAAGTTTCTATCATACTCAGCAATTCTTCAAAGTCATTATTCTTCAACTTTTTAAGCTTAGTTAGTGATAACTTTCTTAAATTCAAAATTGATTGTTCTGAGATATTCTCAAATAATCTTCTGGCTTTATTGACTACATCAGCAAATTTCTGATACAGTTGGAAATCGATTGCCAACCATATTCATTGGCAATCGATTACCAACACTCCCACCGATTATTATCGATTGTTGATCAATCGATAATAATCAGTTTTTTTTATTATCGTTTACAAACGATTGCTATCGTTTGTAAACGATAGAAAACGATAGGAAACGATTTCTATCGT